TCCAAACACTTAGAGAACATTCTTCAGTATTAATACGTTTATGACACGTGGCCCAAAAGTAACACAGTGCAACAGGGAACATGTAACTGCTGTTTTGACTTCGGTTTCTAAGTGCCATTCGAACTGATTAACTTGTTTAATTTTGAGTCAAATTTAATTTTCAACAAAAGCATTTCAAATTTCATCTTTATGCCTTTAACATTATTGTATAATATATATGTTATGAATATTTAAATTCTTATTGCACAAACAAATTGTTTTGAAACCGTCAAGATGAAAATGTACGCTCAAATATTTAAAACAAAAAACTTTTGATTTAATTTAATCAAAACGTTTTCAATAAGCCTCGGTTTTCCATTCCTTTTGTTTCATCAACTCCAATCTATGAGCAAAATTGTACTTTTTAGATAAAATTTTGCTCATTGATGTATCTGCCCTGGTGGTATTTCATCGAATGGTATTTTTATACAAAAATCCATTGCATATTTTTTACTATCGGGTATCGGTTCTGCCAATTTTGTTCATTCTTTGCCCATTGGAATTGTCATAGGTTATCTTGCTCGCACTTACGTAAAATCGTATAGTAAAAAAAAAAACTTTGCAATGAGTGAGGCCAACAAGGTAGTGTCATAACGCCATAAGGAAAAATAATATTCGATTTATATTAGATTAGAAAAATTAGCTAATTAAACAATCACAAATTGGCTAATAGTTCTGAGGACGGGGCAATACCGAATGATAAAGAGGCATTGAAGGTTTTTTGAAAATCAAAATATAATAAGTGTTGGTATATGTACTTATTTTTTTTTTGAGTGCATGTCGTTGACGCGTTTTGGCGGACGAGAAAAGCGCAAACAGCTTGTGATTTCAGCTCGAACTCCAGCTTAGGTTTGGGTTTGGGCTTGGGTTTCGGTTTGGGTAGGGGCTTGCTTTTGAGTTTGAGTTTGAGCTTGGGGTTGTCCTTGTTATGTCGCCGACACTGCCTCGAAGATGATGGCGCTCTGCAGAGATTTGCCACCGGAACGACAATCGTGAAGGGGCGACAAGTGAAAGCTGGGTGAAAGTAGGTGTGTAAGGCACAAAGGCGATGCCAGGAACAACGGTGAAGGCGCTGGGAATTGATTGAATAGTGGAGATGTGGCAGATGAAAGCCAGAGGACATGGGACACGGAACACAGGACACGGGACACGGGACACGAGACACAGAACAGGGACTCAAGCGCTCAAGTACCTTTTCTAAGAATTAAGGCATCCGATGGGCATAACATGCTCTGCACTCCATCCATCCTTCCGTCCCTTAACGAGCTCCTTGGCATCCTTGCCCCCGGCGATTTGATTATGCTAATGAAATAACAAGCCTATAAAACTGAAAAGCAGTGGAGAGCAGCGGGAAACGGAAGTGCAAAAGAAATAAAACTATGCCAATGTCAATGCCATTGCCAATTCCAATTCCAATACCGATTCCAATTCCAATTCCCATTCACACGCACGCACATCTACGGAATGCGGAGGTGTAAAGTGAAAAGGTTCCGCATATTTGGGCAGTTAAAAGGATGCCGCGTTAAATGGAAATGAAAATTCGAAATTGAGCCGAAGCAGGTTGCAATAAAATCAGAAAACATTAGTGTGCTACGGAATATACTTCACTTAGCTGCATTTATTAAGTGCCTTTCTAGGGACACAACAGCTTGTAATCGCTAGGTGAAGTGTGACTTCAAAAAGCAAGCCTTTTGAAGTGCAACAAAAATGAATACAAATGCTTCCGCCTTATGGGACACTTAAAATGCTCCGCAGAATGCTGTTCTCTTTCTTTCACTGTTCACTCTTTTCTCGACTTTACCCTACCTTGCGCTGCTTTTCACACGGTTTTTTCCAGCTTTTTTGCATATTTATTGTATAGTTTTGTAGTTTTATCAAGTTAGCTAGTTAAAAGTCAAGATGCCACCAAGTGATGGGTGGCGTAGAAGCAGCACCTGCTGCAGGTGGATGAGCACGTGCAACGTCCTTCCACCCCATCCCGTCTCCATCTCCTTTTATTAGCTACGTGAGGCGGTCTCAAAGGGCGGAAAAGAGTGGGCGGGGCAGGGGTCGGAGGTCATCTGGCAGTGGGGTCTTTAAAACTTGCTAGGCGCTGGCGATAAGATGAGCGTGCTTAAGTTTTATTGGCGCATATTTAAGCTATTAAAAAATTCATGCATAAAACGACACACACACTAACAGCCAGGTACACCCACACCCACAGACACTCGCCGCCCAAGGAGAAACCAAATTAAACAAGAAAAGAAGCAAACTTCGGCTAGCCGAAGTTCATATACCCTTGCAGCTATTGCAAAAATTAAAAATTCTTGAAAACATTAAAATTATCATTTACTTGCGTATATGTTTAAAAATATTGAAGCTATGATAATTTGCCGCTCAATTATTTGAATGTTCCTATGGCGGCTATATGGTTCGTTTTCCGATTTATACAAAATATACAAAATAAAAAAAGTGAAATTTATTTAAAATTTATTTTAAAATATTTTTATCGTTTTCATGGGAGCTTTATGTTATAGTCGTAACCGTAATTCTGAAATATTTAACCATTACTATATGTCGAAGAATGCTATAGTTGTCCGATCCGACTCGTTCGGACTTATATACTACCTACAATAGAAAGACAACTTTTGGGAAAGTTTCATGCAGATAGCTTTAAAACTGAGGAATTAGTTTGCGTAGAAACGGACGGATAGACGGACATGGCTAGATCGACTCGTCTAGTGATGCTGATCAAGAATATATATACTTTATAGGGTCGGAAATTTTTCCATCACTGCGTTGCAAACGTCTGACTAAAATTATAATACCCTCTGCAAGGGTATAAAAATACAAAGGAAAATGTCTACATTTCAGTATTTTACATGGATGTAGAGGCGATTGTTTTTTTATTGTTTATGTTATTAACAACCATTTTGACTACCATTTAGGAATTTAAAGTTTTTATTTATTTTCTTCCTTCTCACAATTTATAAAAAAAACGACCTTTTCACATAAAATAGTTGATGCTTTGCTGGTCTTACAAATAAAAGTCTATAAATTACAAAATTAAAATTAAAGTTTCGGAAAATGATATCATACATATTGTTGCCACGAAAAGGTCGAATAATTTAGCTGAAAATCATCATAGCTTCAATATTTTTAAATATTTACGCCTACAAATCGAATTTTAGATGTTCTAAGGAATTGCTAAAGTTTGATTCCATTTATGTTAAAATTATGCCAGGCAAAAAAAGAGTGTGAAACTCATTTCCTAGGCTATGGGCTTCAACTGATTTTGTTTTTCTGTGTAAAAAACTATCATATTTTACAGGAACATTGCTATTATCTGGGGAATTAACCATTTTGCAAATTTAAATGTAGTCTTAACAATTAAATAGATTGTTTTTTGTTTTTATACCCTTGCAGAGGGTATTATAATTTCAGTCAGAAGTTTGCAACGCAGTGAAGGAGACATCTCCGACCCTATAAAGTATATATATTCTTGATCAGCATCACTAGGCGAGTCGATCTAGCCATGTCCGTCTGTCCGTCTGTCCGTCCGTTTATATGCAAACTAGTCTCTCAGTTTTAAAGCTATCTGCATGAAACTTTCCCAAAAGTTGTCTTTCTATTGCAGGTAGTATATAAGTCGGAACGAGCCGGATCGGACGACTATAGCATATAGCTCCCATAGGAACAATCGGAAAAATAAATGAAAAAAAATTATAACTTTGCTGTTTTTTAATTTTTTGTTTAGTTCTTCGACATATAGCAATGGTTTAATATTTCAGAATTATGGTTTAAATTTCATCAAAATCGGACGACTAAAGCATATAGCTCCCATAGGAACAATCGGAAAAATAATTGAAAAAAAATTATAACTTTGCTGTTTTATAATTTTTTGTTTTGTTCTTCGACATAAAGCAATGAAAAAAAATTATAATTTTGCTGTTTTTTAATTTTTTGTTTAGTTCTTCGAGATATAGTAATGGTTAATTATTTCAGAATTATGTTTTAAATTTTATCAAAATCGGACGTCTATATCATATAGCTCCCATAGAAATAATAAAAATATATAAAATAACTATCTTATAATTGAGCTGCAAATCATCATAGTTTCAATGTTTTTCAGCATATACTCAAGTAAATCATAATTTAAATATTTTCAAAAGTATTTAATTCATGCAATAGCTGCAAGGGTATATGAACTTCGGCTTGCCGAAGTTTGCTTTCTTTCTTGTTTGTATTTGTATTTATTATACAATTTCATCCTAACGCTACAAGTTTGGAACTTATAAGTTAATGCGCTAGTCACTATTTTATCAATCGGACGACTATATCATTTAGCTCCCATAGAAATAATAAAAAAATTTAAAATAACTATCAAATAATTGAGCTGCAAAACATCACAGCGTCAATGATTTTAATGTTTTCAAAAATGTTTAATTCTTGCAATAGCTGCAAGGGTATATGAACTTCGGCTTGCCGAAGTTTGCTTTCTTTCTTGTTAAACAAGATTCAAATTTCTTGTTTAAACTGGGCTCTCAAACGGTATAGAAACAGACGGACCAACGAATATGGCTGTATCAACTCGTCTTGACGTGCATATGAAGAATATTTATACTTTATTGGGTCGGAGATGTCCGTTTCACTGCGTTACAAAATTCCAATTTTATCATGCCCCCTGCAGCGGCATTACAAAATATATATGAGCATATATTAAAATACAAAAAATTTCAAATAAGAACAAATTCTGGCGATAGCCCCCGATGAACTTGTTGCTCGAGTCCCTCGATAAGAAATTCGTGATTTGCTTTCCTATGTCAATTTTTGGCGAAACATCTTAATCAAAAATCCCAGAATATAAAACAATAAACTAGAATATTTGGATGTTGCTAAGCGATCAACACTTTAAAGAAATTTATTATCAAAATGTGTAATCATTTGAAGTCGTCATTTTGCACGATTTTGGATCCTTATTTTTATGTCCAAGGCGTCTTCACATGATCCATTAACAACACTGAGTTGGGAGTGCGGATGGCAAAGACAAATGGCCGATTAGCGACGAACTCCTTGGAATTGGCAGGCAGTGACTTGGCATCATCTGGATATATAGAATTGATAGCTTTGTAGTAGTTTTTAGGCCCGAAAAGTAGCTGAAATCTTACCTGAAAAGTGCGAATATACTGTTCCCAACTCCGATACTGCAATGTAGGCCCTATGCAGGATCTTGTCCACGCGCACCGTCTGTTCGAGCAATTTGGTTACCTTCGAGCTATCCGTGAACATCTGCCGGAGACCCAGCATCTTCAATGCGTCGATCATGTCACCATCGGAAAAGACACTGAACCTGGGCAGGCCCACTGTGACCGACTGACGGTGCAGGCGGTTGGCGATCCGGTTGAGATCGAACTCCGGCTGGGCCAACTGCTGCTCTAGGTTGGCCAATCCTTTCTGCTGATTGGGCAGCAGGATCAGCATGCTGGTGGCACTATTCTGGAAGGGCAGTTCCAAGGCGGTGGCGTCTAGTTCTTGGCAGATCGGCCAGCCCATAGACATGGCGATTGTACATCATTGGAACATTGATAGTTTCACCTTTGACGAGGTGGAATCCGGATGTCCGCGTGTTGCCTACTTCGAATTTGTGCTTCCAGACACCGTGGAATTCCACGTGGTTCGTGAGTATCGCCTGCATCTGGGAGCTATTGTCGGATCTCTGTATCCAGAAGGAAAACCAGCATGGCTTGCACGGCGAAGGCTGAGAAGGCAACGTTGCCGTGGCGATTTTCCAACTTTATCATTTCCTGGAAGAGCTTGGCGCTGAAGCGGGTCATGTAGCTGGGCGCCAAACAAAGAAAAATGGAATACAGAAGTGTAATTTTTCTTAAAAAAATTAAAGACCAGAAAAAAGCTTGCAATTTAAAATAAATAAATTTAAACAAAAAAAAAATACATGTAAATAAAATATTATTCTTTGCTGCTCAACATCAACAATCAAGTCTTTATAATTTAATCTTTATTTCAAATAAAAAATAAATATTCAACCAACAAAATGTTTGATTGACTTTATACTTATATATATTAAGCAATCCAAATTTGTACGAAAATTTTAGTGGGTACCCTACAGAATACATTTAAGAGATAACAGTAACTATTTGTTGAAATGAATGTTCTTTAATCACGCATACGTACTGTTGCCTTTGCTCAAATAGATGTATATGGTACAAATGTGATGTCTTATGCTTTTAAAGCTCTCAAGATGGACGAGCTGCTTGTGCCGATTATAAATTACATTTTTACTTTTTTCGTGAAATTGTAGTTTAATTAATGAATTTCTTCCTTTTCCTAACCGCATATTCTTTCCGATTATGATATTTTTATGCTAATCTTGCCACATAGAGTGCGTCCGCAAGGCAGATAGCTTGGAAGTTCACTTAAGCGCAGTGGCGGATAGCCAAGCCGTCGGGGGTATCAATCCGATCCCCGACAGCCGGAAAATAACTCCAGATGGTAGCTCGAGATGGCTAGTCCGAAGGCGAGCTGGGCAATAAGCAAAACGTTTTATGTTAAATACCGCATCGTTATCTGTAAAGCTGTATAGGGCAAAGGGCAAAGAGCAGAAGCTAAAAGCGGGAAAAGGAGTACGATTCGAGTTGCAGTTGTCCGGTTTTGTAGCCCACGGCGCCTGAAAATGCTGCAACATTCGCGCTGCAGCGCTAGTTCGTTGAAGTCCCTAACCCGGCGCAATAATAACTATAATAATCAACATGGTGGCCATTTGCCACAAGGACACCCACCCCCATCCCCATCCCCACCCACACACACACACACACACACATAGAATGGCTGCTGTTGCATGTTCTTCATTTCGTTTTCTTAATTTTATACATACGTTTATTTTCATTTTGCTGCCTTTTTGTTTGCTCTTTCTGCGCTGCGGCTTAATCCAACAACCAAGCCCCCTCCACCCAGCTTTGTATTTATTGCAGGAAGCCACCCCACGCTCCAATGCGATGCAAAGTCCACCCCACTCAGCTCGTCGCCAGTCTGGCATCTTTTTAGTATTCATTAAACTGCATAATTATACAATAAGTGCAATGGCTACGACTTTGCAACCGCCCACTCCCACGCCGCCCACAACCTCTATCACCAACCGCACGCACTTCGCCCACCACCCCAGCACCCCATTGCTGCCACGCCCACCGCCCTACTGAAAACAAACATATACATATACATATACATATACATATACATATACTTATACATAGCTTTGATGTGGCCTGTGTGCACACACCACACACATGTCCATGTGAGCGGAAGAGTCTAATCGAATGCAAAGGATAATATGTCTATGTATATGTATAATGCACAAAATGGAACACTTAATTGCAACAAGCTTAAAAATGCAATGAATTTAACATTATCGTTGCACAACAAATCCAAGTAAATAAATGTTGTTTAAAAATAGTCGTAGCCTGTAATGGCAAATTGAGACAAATTCGACTCTTTGGCAGAGTGGAAGCACCTGATTAAGAAAAATACTTATTTGCGATTTCACGCTTTAAAAATCCAAATCCAAAATGAAAGAATTATATATTTAATGTTTAATCAAAAATTAAAAACAATGCATATTTAGTTACATAATATTATATTCAAATACTTTAATTATTGTGGAAATATTTTGTATTAAATAGTTTGGTATGCTTTTAATTTAAGTTAGATAGAATTTTAATTAATTTAATTTATATTTAAAATAACTAAAAACTGCAATGTATGAAAATGAGCACAAAATATTTGGACTTGCTAGGCTTCTTTTACCAGTGTATGTTAGTCTAAGAAACAGCATTTTAGAGAGTAGAAAAAATATACATGCTTTAAATTAATGTCCATTCATTTATAATTTATTTCGATTATAACCGTACGTTGGAAAACATCATTAAAGTAAATTCCCTAGCTGGCCGATTTTTGCAACTTTGCCGAACCCTCAGTCTTATCCAACTCTTTTTCAGAATCGAGGCTAATTTATTTAATGTCCCTTGACCTCCCAAAAAGGCCAAAACAAGAATTGACCCAGGAGGAGTGACCAGCTCCAGAGAGTCAGGGAAATGGGGAGAAGGAGCTGGAACAGCTGGAGGATGTGGAGGAGGAGCTGAATGGGTCATGGGATTATTAAGCAGGATTATGAATAGATAGGCCCATTCATTCAGGCCGTTCTCGCTCTGGCCACTCATTGTTTTTATGTTTCGGGAAACTTTTGCCAATTCCAAATGGAGAAACGGAAACGGAATATGTCCAGCCACCTGAACTAGTCCAGTTCAGTCGAGTCCAACTCGGTTTGGGTCATAAACAAATCCCTTAAACATTTTAAATGCCGGAGACCAGCTGCATGTGACCACGCCCCCTTCCGAGCCACCACAAACGCAACGGAAATGGAACAAAAAAAACACCAAATAGACAATAAAAAAAAAATCATTGGTTCTTTGGCCACTACTATGCAAAGTTTTTATACACTGCCTTCAAAATCAAAATTCAAAATTTTGTAAAATTATTTTAGAAATAATAAATGTTATTTTTGGATTACCTACACTGCCAAAGATGAAATAATATAAATAAATATGTGACTATTTAGTTTAAAATCTTCTATTTAATATTAAATATTAAATCATAGTATTATTGCAGGATTAAATGTTAAAATATTTTAATTAATGTGGAAAATATTATTATTTAAATGCCTTTTACTTAAGTAAAATATGGCTTAAATTTAAAAATAATAACTTGTAAAATGAAAAATTTGTTTAACTTTAAGAATGTAAACCTTTTGTAAACTTGCACTTAAATGAAGTAAATTATTGGAAAAATAATAAGCACCAAGTCGAAGGCCTTCACTTGAGAGGCAAACTCTGTCCGCAAGGAAGCGTATGTGAATGGGTAAAAGTGGACATTGGACGCACTTGGAGCATGTGTCCGCACCATTTCATGCTCGAAAATAGTTTTTGGCCAACGATTGGGCAAGGCGACGGCGCTGGCTGCCAAGAGGAGTCCGAGCTAATCGGACAGGATATGAGACAGAGCCGAGACCCCGGAACCAACCAAGCATCGCCCTCTGGTGCATCGTAAAAAATAAGCAGCAGCAAATTGTATTTTTATGAGCTGAAACTGTTTTGGGGCCACATTTCAATGTCGATAAAAACAACGACGGTCCTCCAGTCGGAGCTGCAAAGGGGTCAGAGGGCAGAGTGCAGGGGGTTCAAGAAAGGCCAAGGGGTCCAAGGAGTCTAAGGGGTCTAAGGAGTGTGGACAGCATGTGTGCCAACTGGCAAACCGACTACGACAATAACAGGACAGAACGGTTGAGTCCGATGTTCGGAATAGGAAATACCCGCTACTCACTGTTCTATTGGAAAAACACTGCAGCTTAGCTACCAATATGCACTGAGAGAAAAAATATGGAACATCTAAAAAAGTTGTATTTAGTTGTTGAATGTTCCTCATAAACAAAATCGTTTTCAAGTATAGCAGCAAAAAAAGTAAAATTTAATTTTTTTTTTTCTAATTTTATTTAGTAGCATGTTTTTTTTAAATCATTGATTAAATGTTCTTATAAAAACAAATATTTTCGATTTAGTCGGCCTGCTTACAGTTTAACTGCCTAATTTTCAAGAAACTTTCACTCGAGAATCACAATTAAACAACGAAATATTGTATTGCTTTGACTTGAATATTTTACAAAACCATATTAAATTCAGCTTAAACTTTCTTCAAAAGCAAAGCAATAGCGTATATCAAGTTTTTAAACACTGATCTATTGCAAATTAAATAATAATTTTAAAATTTTACATTTAATAAATATCAATACAGATTTATAGATTAACCATGTACTTATTTTAAATTGTTTTAAATATTAATTCATGTGAATTTCACTATGTGTTTTACAAATATCAGGCGGAGGATATAATGCATGTTAACGAAATTATTTATTTATTTTTTAGAAAAATACCATATTTATTATCGATCTTAATGGTTCATTACATTATTTAAGGTACAGCCCGACATCTCGGGATAGTGACAGATTATACTGGTATAGGTACATGGTATATTTTCCCCATTACATAGCTTTGCACGGATACAACATGCCCTCTCACTCCCCGGGTAGCGAGTATAAAAACTGAAACAAAAACTTACAACAAATTACAAATAACGAGCCAAAACCCCAGTCTAGCGCCGGACAGGCGGCAAACCGGAATACTCTAGATTGTGGGGCACTGGGGTGTCGGGCGGTTTGTACTAATAGAAAATCGTGTGGGAAATTCCACCGCCAGCCGGCCGTCGAAAAACTAACTCAGGAAACGGGAGACGTGCCCTGTCAGCCGGCCATTCATTAGAGCTAATTAAACGTGATCAGAACCCAAACCCAAGCCCAAGCTTAAGCCCGAACCCGAACCAGAACCAGAACCAGAACCAGAACCGGACCGTCGGGCATTATCCATATCCGTGTATGGTCAGTTACAGCAAAACGAAATCGGTGCTCACATAATGAATAGAAAAGTATCAGCTTATAT